CTGTATTTTACTATATTTTATTAATAAATTTTGATCCTGTTTCAATATTTTTTGATTGCCACTATTAATATAAAAAATGCCAATTTATTGCAAAACTTTTTTGGCATTGTATATATTTTATCTTTATAATAAATTAATTGTATTTCAATTTGCTTTAAAAGAAAATAATATTTTGAATGGTGAAATTATAACAATAAAAATCAAAGTTCTATTATTAATTTTTTTCATTATCCAATTTGAAAGAATAAGCAAATATATCAATAGGCAAATATGAATATTACACCCAGAAAACCAAAGTGTATTCACATCATCGCTTTTGCCGGTTGCTGTATCAATAACAACTAATAAAACTAATATTTGATACTAATTATCTAAGAAAAACACATAACCAAAATGAACAGATACGATCTATTTTATTTACCCAAAGCAACGTATGCATCCCAATCTATTTCTAGGGCAAATTGTGTGATTGTGCGCAACCATCCAGGTCGGTTGCGATATGGTGTACCATTGTCGTTAAGAAAATTCTGATTATACTTGAAACGTGGAAAGACATCCTTCGGCACAACGAAATAGAAATGAATTTGTTTATTGGAGCGGATGGCAGAGCGAATTGAGTTCTTCACATTGTGGTGATCAGATACAGTAGCCTGGTAAAAATGATCAGGGTCATTATCGAATAATTGAATCGAATCGATAGCTGCAAAATTTTTTGCGTATGGAATATAGTATACTTTTGGCTTGGTTAACTCTTTGATATCATAAAAAATCTATAATTAATGTAACCATCAGTAACTATCAGATATCCGTTGTAAAAAAGAAAACCAACAGTTCGTACCTCTAATCCATTAGAGGGGCTCAATTTCAATGTGGTTTCTTCTTCAGGTACTTCATTACTCGCCTTCAGTTCACGAATTCGGAAACTGCCACCATTTTGTAACACGTTATGAACCACACCTTCAAAAACGTAACCTCGAAAAGATGCTCTCTCTCGAAATCCTGCTGATGAGTGAAGCCATCGTAATACATC